TTCAGCTGTCTCATGTCTATTTTCATTGTAGTACTTAGCTTTTTATAGCGTTGAAGTATAATTTTGCTGAACCTGGGTTTTTTTCCGGGAAGTCTAGTCTGGCTTATAACTCTAACAAGACTTATGTCAACAATTTAGGTGCAGAACAGTTTTAGGAGGGGTGTGCAGAGAAATCTTGAATGCGCTAGTGAAGAGTAACTAATCTTTGTGTCCCACCTAGTAAGATATAAGTGAATCCACGCTGACCGTTTCCTGTCTGATTCTAGGCTTTCCTTGTTGTTCTCTGTCCATCTATTCTAGACTTTTTGTTTGGTTGGTTGGTTATTTAGAGAATGATTTCTAAAGAGTTATTTGAGAAGTGTCTGTCAAATAAATACACTTTTGTAATTGGCCCAATTTGAAACTTTCGTAACTTTAATTCTTAAAGTAATTGTTAAGTGAATAAGAAAATGTGGAAATGTTTTAATATTTACTTTTTATTGGAACGTCAGAGAGAAGAAGATTCAGAGAGAAAGATCTTCCATCCATTGGTTCATTCCCCAAGTAGCCGCAATGGCTGGAACTGAGCCAACCCAAAGACAGGGACCAGGAGCTGCTTCCGGATCTCCCAAGCAGCTGCAGGGTTTGGGCTATCCTCTGCTGCTCTCACAGGCCACAAGCAGGGAGCTGGATGGGAAGTAGAGCAGCTGGGATGGGAACCTGCACCCATATGGGATCCTGGTGCATACTAGGCAAGAACTATAGCCACTAGGCTACTACATTGACCTTCTGGAAACATTTTTAAATATAATTTATTTCTGAATCGTTTCATCTTTCTTTCATCTCCTCAGTGCCATTAAACATAGTGGGATAAGGGAAACATTACATATAAATACGCCCTGATGCTGTTTTGGCCCGATAAGTTTCTCTTAATTTATAAAACCTGTGTTTCTGATTTATATTCTTTAGTTTTGGTCTAACTTCTCTTACATGTTGGCAGTGAAAAGAAGTTTCCCAAAGTTTTACGGATTAAAAAATAAGCTTTGATGAGAATATTTATATAGATTATATCAGGATTTGTCAAAATGAAATTTTTTTTCTAAAGTTCTAATGCATCCACTTCTAGAAAACCCATTGTTCTTAATGGCCTTGTGACTTTGAACTTGACTTTGGTCTGTCATCAGGCCTTGACTTTAAAAGCAGTAGTCGGAAGATACCTTTGCTGACCACGGTTTTATCCAAGGGAATATCCACAGTGTGCCTTGAGGTGATTGTAGTTATAAACTTTTACGAAAGACTTGATCTTTGACCTGTTGGTAATTTTCTTCTTGCCCATGGCAGCAATCACATTATGGAGAAAGTGGTCATTTCCAGCACCAGAACAAACACAGCTGAAAATGTGATCCGAGGTGCCATCATCAGTGTTGTTCACAGGGACATCTTTACATCTGAGTGGTACCTGGCAGGGAACAGTACCACTTCTTCAAAGACAAAGCCAAATTTTATCATAATTTTTTAAAACAACCAGGGCCAGTGTGTGGCCCAGTGTGTTAAGCCATTGCCTGTGATATCAATATCCCATATGGAAGCCAGTTGGTGTCCCAGCTGCTCCACTTCCAATCCAGTTCTCTGCTAATGTGCCTGAAAAAGCAGCAGAGGGTCGCCCAGGTGCCTGGGACCCTGCACTCATGTGGGGGACCTCTAAAAAGTTCCTGGCTTTTGCCTGACTTGGTCCCTGCTATTGGGGATAATTGAGGAGTGAGCTAGCAGGTAAAAAAAAAAAAAAAAAACAAAACAAAAACTCTATAACTCTAAACTCTGGCTTTCAAATAAATAGATAAGTAAGTAAGTAAATAAATATTTTAAAAATGAAACAACTAAATGTTATTAAATTCAGGTTTTATTTTCTGGATAAAGATTTTAACCTTTTTTTCTTTTTTCAAATTCTTAAATCAAGCATCTACATATAGAAATTGCTTAGTTGATTTTCAAAAGTAAAGATTATAGAGGGCCCGGTGCGGTGGCGCAAGTGGTTAAGGTCCTCGCCTTGCACGCCCGGGATCCCATATGGGCGCCAGTTCTAATCCCGGCAGCCCCGCTTCCCTTCCAGCTCCCTGCCTGTGGCCCGGGAAGGCAGTCCAGGCCGGCCCAAAGCTTTGGGACCCTGCACCCGTGTGGGAGACCCGGAAGAGGCTCCTGGCTTCGAATCCACATAGCTTCGGCCGTTGAGCTCACTTGGGGAGTGAATCATCGGACGGAAGATCTTCCTCTCTGTCTCTCCTCTCTGTATATCCGCCTTTCCAATGAAAAAAATAATAAAAATAAATCTTTAAAAAAAAGATTATAGATGACTAACCTATGATATGAAGGTAGTAACAGATAATTAGAACTGTTTTAAAAAGTGAGACGACAGGGCCCGGCGCGGTGGTGCAAGTGGTTAAAAGTCCTCGCCTTGCATGCCCGGGATCCCATATGGGCGCCGGTTCTAATCCCAGCAGCCCTACTTCCCATCCAGCTCCCTGCCTGTGGCCTGGGAAAGCAGTCGAGGACGGCCCAAAAGCTTTGGGAACCTGCACCCATGTGGGAGACCCGGAAGAGGCTCCTGGCTTCGGATCGGCATAGTATCGGCCTGTTGCGCTCACTTGGGGAGTGAATCATCGGATGGAAGATCTTCCTCTCTGTCTCTCCTCTCTGTATATCCGCCTTTCCAATACAAAAATAATAAAAATAAATCTTTAAAAAAAAAAAAGTGAGACGACAGACCATAGACTGGTAGAAATACTTGGAAATGACATGTCTGGTAAAGGACTTTTCTCCAAAATTACAAAGAAATAAGAAAATTAACACCATGATGACAAACAGTGTCTTAAACAAATGGTACTAGTTAACAGACTTCCATCGACCGGGTGCCTCAAACCAGAGAAATTTATTTCTCGTAGTTTTGGAGTCTAGGAAGTACAAAATCAAAGTGTTAGTAGATCTGTGCTCCTAATGCAATAAGGTGAGGTCCTCTCTGGCTTGTAGATGACTGTCTTGTTGCTTTGTTCTCAGGTACTAGAAATTGGAAAGTTTCTGTCTTCCTTTTCTTATAAGGACAGTAATTCCGGCGTGGGATTCCTATCTCTTGATCTCATGTAAACCTAATTATATTCAAAAGGCCCCATTTCAGAATACAGTAATGGGAGGGAGCGGTAGAAAGTGTTAAAAAATTTGGGCTTTAACGTAAGAATTTTGGGAGTACTCATCATCTGTAGCATGCAGGTAGCAAATAAATGTGAAAGATGTTGATCAGCATCATATCATTAGGACATTGCAAATTAAAATAGCAAGGGTACCTGAAGGGCAAACATTAAAACACCAAATGCTCAAAAGGGTGTATATTAGCACAAGGTGTCATTTGCTGATGGTGGGAATACAGAATGGTACAACTGCTTTGGAAAACAGTTGGACAGTGTCTCTAAAAGTGAATATTCTCTTAACATATGATTCAGCAATTGTACTTCTTGTATTTATGCACATGAGTTGAAAACTGTGTAGCAGGTTGATTCATAGTTGCTGAAAAGAAGCATTGACAATGTCCTTAATAGGGTAATGGGTAAATAATTTGTGATACATATGAATAGGAGGGTATTATTCATTGCTAAAAATAAACGAGCCATCAAGCCACTGAGAAACATATAAGCCCTTAAATGTATATTACTAAGTAAAAGAAACCAGTCTGGGGCCAGCATTGTAGCACAGCCAATTAAGCTGCCACCTCTGTAGCTGACATCCCATGTGGGTGCCAGTTCATGTTCCAGCTGCACTGCTTTGTGTCCCAGCTGCACCACTTCCAGTCCAGCTTCCAACTAATGGACATGGAAAGAACATCAGAAGATGACCCAAGTGCATGGACCCTGCCCCCCACCTGGGAGGCCCACCTGGGTGGAGTTGCCAGCTTCTGGTTCAGTCTGGCCCAGGCCTGGCCATTAATTACAGCCTTTTAGGGAGTGAACCAGCAGGTGGAAGATATTTTTTCTGTCTCTGCCTTTTTTTCCGTAACTCTGCCTTTTAATAAATAAATATTAAGCAAAAGAAACAGAAAAGTCTACATACAGCATGATTCCAACTATATGACATTACAGGAAAGCCAAAACAATGGAGACAGCGAGCTTAGGGATTAATGGGTAGAGAAAGATGACTACAGCATACAGAAGGTTTTAAGAGTAATGAAACTTCTGTATGACTCAATGACAGATAATGTCATATATTTTTTCAAAATCCATAATACATGCAAAGTAACCAGTACTCAAACTAGTGCTCCTATGTAGGTTGCTTAACCTACTTTGCCAAGAATAAGGAACCTGCCAGTTTTGTGGGAGCTATAAGATAAGGGCATGATTGATACGGCAACATTGGTCATGTGGTTGAACAGTCTTTACAGGACTGCGCCCTTCCCCAGAGGCTAAAGCTCCTGAGCGCTTCACGTTTAGGTGACCCTCCCCTAGTCTGTGTTGTTAACGTGAGCTCTGTTATGGATCAAGAGCTTTATGAATAACAGATATTCCTATCTTACCTGGGAAATTCCAAGCATGAAACTCCACTCCAGCACACAGGTTTGAATAAATGTAGCTCTTGAAAACCAAATAATTTTTTATTATATTTTAAGTATGAAAATGTACCATGAAGTTGAGGTGACTGAAAAATAGTAAGAAAAGCTGACTCATTGATCTTTGTCAATCTGGCATTTTAATAGCTTAAACTTTGTAGTTTGAATTTTTAAACATTAGAATTTTAATTAAGATTTTAGGTGTAACTGTATTTTTTTATGGTAGAGAAGACAGAGGACTTGGATCAGAATGAAAGAGGTCTCTTCTAGAATTTAATACTTGAGACTGGTAAACAAATAATTTTTTTAATAAACATATAATTACGGTCCCATTTGCTTCATCAGACTTTCTCTTTTCATGGCAAGTTCCTTTTGAATGTTCCAGGTTTCCATTTTCTCTAAGGAAATACTCAGTTGTGTTTTTCTTTTGCAGATTGATTATACCGGAACAGAGCCTTCCAGTCCCTGCAATAAATGTCTGTCTCCGGAAGTGACACCTTGCTATTGTACGATTAACTTCACACTGGACAAGTCATTTGAGGTCTGTATTTCTAAGCAATTTGTCAGAAAGGCCATTCTTTAAAGAAAAAATACTAATACTGTATTAAATGTTTCTAAATAGATATTTTGACTTTCTAGAGAAATCACATTTGCATCCACTTACTTTTGAGAAAAATTGTTTTGTATGTGTAGCTTTTGTATTGTACTGTCTGACAAATATGTTTATTTGTATGGTTGACTTTGGTTAGTGCTTGATGATGGAATGTAAGACATTTATTGCACTGGAAATTTTTTTTACATTTTTAATATGTCTAATATTTTTCTTTTGAGATGCATTATTGTCAAAAAGTTAATGGATCTAAAAGTTCAACAAATTAAGAACTAAAATGAGTTACTGCAAAATTTTATAATTTCACAAATTCATTTTGTGTAAAGTTTATATCTACATGTACTTGTATTTTCAATTTCTTGCATTTATATAGGGTAGGTTTGGGTATAGGTTTGCCCTTAGGACATTGGTAAAGAAACCTGTGTCCTGGGGCCAGCACAATGGCTCAACAAGCTAATCCTCTGTCCTGTGGTGTCAGCATCCTTTACAAGTACCGGCTTAGTCCCAGCTGCTTCACTTTCCTCCATTCTCTGCTTATAGCCTAGGAAAGCAATGAAGGATGTCCCAAGTTCTTGGGACTCTGCACTCACGTGGAAGATCTGGAAGCAGCTCCTGGTTCCAGGTTCTGATCAGTTCAGCTCTAGTTGCAACCACTTCAGAAGTGATCCAGTGGAACAAAGACTTGCTCTATCCTTTCTTCCCTCTCTGTAAAATCTGCAGAGCTAGGCTCTTACACCTACTGGTCTGCATGAGCCAGGGATGCTAGGCCACAGCATCGAAGGCAAAGGCTGAGGCAGGAGAGGGGCCAAGCCAACTGGGTCAGAGCAGCCATTGGCATGCACATAATCCAGGGCTGAGAATAGACCTGGTTGGGGAGCGGTGAAAATATACCCTTGCTGGGTTGGGGTTCCCTTGGTGTGTGAGGGGGCTGGAGTGGAGGCAGTGTTCTGGTCTGGATATGGCTACAGTCTCCCTTGGCACAAGTGTGAACTGGGACTGGGCACACCTAACTGGGCTAGACTTCAGCACCATCTGGTGCTCTGGAGAACCTGGGTAAATGTAGGTCAAACAAGGCTAGGTCTCTGCCCCTACTGAGCCATGTGTGAGCAGTGTCTGGTTGTAGACGAGCCTTGGCTGGGCTGAAACATCCAACAGTAAGAATTGGAATGGATTGAAGGCCAGCAAGGAAAGGACACTGTTCCTGCCAGAACAGGAGGTGGACTAAGTAGGACTGGCCCATAGACCCACCAGTATATGCAAGATCTGGCATAGGGAGAGGTTCTGATGGAGGAGCTTGGGAAACTCCTCTGTTGGGACACAGTCCCTGCAGGTGAGCGCAAGAACCAGGATAGGGAGCAACCCAGTCCAGGCCAGAGAAAGATGCCCACTGGCATACATTTGGCATGTGCCAGGGACAGACCAAGCTGAGCCAGTTCACATCAACTATACTGAATCCAAGCACCAGAACAGAGTGTGAGTCAGGCCAGATTTGGTTGCAACACATACCAGTGCACATTACAGAAAGCCAAGGTGAGGTGAGCTGTACCAGAAGTAGCTGCAGTGCCCAAACAGCACATGTGAAAACCAGGGAGGGAGAGGGCAAAGCTGGTATGGGGAATGTGGACTCACCTGCTAGACAGCCACTCCCACTGGAGAGCGTGAGTCGGGATGGGGGCAGACCAGACCAGGCAGGGTTACAACACCTATACGCCTTATGTGTGCCAGGTCAGGGAAAAGCCAGGTTGGGTTGACTGTTCCGACTAGTGCAAGCATAAATTAGAGTGGACGAGGGTTGGTTGGGCATTGCCACAGCATCAGCTGCAGAGGCTGGCACTGGGGGCTAAATCTGTCAAGTTTAACTCCAGAACCACTTGGAAAGTGAATAATCCAGGAGTGGGAGTAGCTTAGAAGGGAAATAGTGGACACCTCCCTCTTGGGTTACCACTCCCACTGTAAGCATGAAAACCAGGACAGGGGTAGGAATGGCTAGACAGAAAGGCACCTGCCAGTATGTGTGTGGGCTGTATAGTAGGTTGGTTGGGTTAACTAGGCTTCAATGCCCATTGACTTGTATGAGAGCTAAATAGGATATGGGACAGACTGAACAAGTCTGCGGTACATAGTGGCAAGCATGGGAACCAAAGTTGGGGGCAGGCCTGGTGGGGGTTGTGGGGAATCGTCACAACTAGGCTGCAGCTCCCACCGGTTTGTGTGAGGGCCGAGTATGAAGTGTGCAAGTTCGGGCTGGACTGCAACACCCATTGGTTCATGTGGAAGACAGGGCTGGAAACAGAACTGACCCTGCAACTGCAACCACCATTACATGCATAAACTGATTGGGGCGACGGACGGTGCTGGACCCTCTACTGGCAAGCACACACAAGAATCAGATCTGGAATCACCTCAAAGTTTCTTTGGAGATCCCTCCAACTGAACAGCTGATCTCAGAACCCCAACCATGAATTTACTGTACTGATTCCTATTAAGATGATACTCTTTTTTTTTTTTTTAAAGTGCATTTGTCCTTTTTGTTTTTATTATGTAATTTAAAAGATTTATTTTTTGGGCCTGGTGCAATGGCTCAGTGGCTAAATCTTTGCCTTGCCAGTGCCAGGATCCCTCAGCTAGACCAAGCCACCAAGAGCTCTGAACTCAATTCAGGTTTCCCACCTGGAAGGCGAGGGCTCAAAAACATGAGCATGAGCTGTCACTTCCCAGGGTACACATCAGCAGGAAGCTGAGTGGGAGGTTGAGTCACCAAGACTCAAAGCACATCCCCATATGATATAATTTTGTCTGAAATCTCCCACTAACGAAAAAATAATTTTCCATGTAAACATTTTATTTTTACAGATGTGGGAAATTACGTGGTTTGATGATTGAAAAGAATCAGTTGTTATGTGATGGTTTATATGAAAGTAGCAAATCAAAAGAGCACACTTGGGCCTAGCGTGGTAGCCTAGTGGCTAAAGTCCTTGTCTTGAACGCACCAGGATCCCATATGAGCACTGGTTTTAGTCCCGGCAGCTCCACTTCCCATCCAGCTCCCTGCTTGTGGCCTGGAAAAGCAGTTGAGGATGGCCCAAGGCCTTGGGACCCTGCCACCAGTGTTGGAGACGTGGAGGAAGTTCCTAGCCCCTGGCTTCAGATTGGCGCAGCACTGGCCGCTGCAGTCACGTGGGGAGTGAATCATCAGATGGAAAATCTTCCTCTCTGTATATCTGACTTAGTGATAAAAATAAAATAAATCTTAAAAAAAAAAAAGAGCGCACAGTGTGAATGGGTTCATTTCATTGAAATAAGAATATAGAAAATAGGACTGGCAATCAGAAAAAAGTTAGTCATTCAAGATGGTATTTTAGCATTTTCTAAATGTCTAGGTCTACCCTCTGTTTCCAAGTGATTTTAAAGCTTCCTTTACAAAAGTACTTTTGTTGACAATAAGTTATCCTGTTCCTTAGTTTAATAATTTATTAACTGCTAATAAAATGTAGTGGCCTGTTGATAAATACATTGCATTCAAATTCAGAGTTTACTTGGGCAATAAATGAGTTTAGTCATTATCCTGCTGAAAAGTTCATACAAATTAGATGAAAACTAGTCTGAGTTGGAATATTTTAAGTTGAGATTATTTCTAAGTAAACTAGTGCATTTGTTGTGGGTTTTAAAATGTTTTTATATTTTCCTTTTATTTGAAAGACATATATATTTTGAGACAGAGAGAGACAAAGATCTTTTATCTTCTGGTTTACTTCCTAAAGTCCAAATTATTGGACTTTTATGTATATATTAAACAAGTTTTTATGTAATATTTTATGTGAAAAATTTCCCCTCTATTTCTTTAGGGCAACGTGTTTATGTACTACGGACTGTCTAATTTCTACCAAAATCATCGTCGTTATGTGAAATCTCGAGATGATAGTCAACTAAATGGAGACCCTTCTGCTTTGCTTGTAAGTAAAATAATGAAATTTGAAAATATGTTATCTGAGAAAAAAGAACATGGTGATTGTTAACTTAAAAATGTCAAATTATTTAATAATGATGTTAGGATGAAATTAAAGTACTGGCATTTCTAGTTTGGTTACGGTATAGTTAATCACAATGTGTTTTTCCTGCAAATTGCACCAGTGAATGGCTTCTGGCAATGAGGAGACATATTTCTTCCTATTTGCTTTTAATGTTACTGGAATTTTAGCTTCATTTATCTGTGATGAAATTTTCATGAAACTAGCATTATTAGTATGAAATGTATTCCAGTTGAATTTTTCATTATGACACCAAATAAATGTATGCAAAAACTGCTTTTCATTTCTACGATTCTATCTTTAAAATTGAATACAGATGTCTCTGTTTTTTTTTAACTTGTTCTTAGCCACAGCGGAAATATTCAAAAGGGCAGAGCACTAAAAAGCCGTGTGTGAGTTTTTTTCAAAAGATGGATTCCAGAATTCTGTGAAATGTAAAATTTCACAGAAATCGGTTTTTACAGGTAGATTGTGTAGAAATCTTTCATAAGATTTCTTTCCAGTGTCCAGTCCCGCTTGTATATCTGAAGTAATACATCGTAGTTTCTTAACTATTGCTCAGCTTTCCTTAGTAGTGGTTAACCCCTAACTAGTTTATGTTATTGTGTCCAATACAGCAAATACTTAGAGGCCGAAGAAAAATTAAAATCACTTAAAATAATGAATGTCTTTATTATGCAGTTTAGAACTATTTTGACTAGAATGGAGCTACATTATCTTTAAGTTATCCTAACTCATCTTATTACTAGTTCCTGATGTGTGGGATTTAAAGAGAAAGAAAGCTGCATGGATATTTCCTGGTGTACACAGGATTCTTAGTAGGCCTGCACCATTTGTAATCCATATGGTTTTACTCATAGGCTCCACTTTCTAAGACCCTTCCAGGGAAGGTTATGTACTAGCAGATATACCAAGTTCCTAGGTCTTTGTGAACTGTTGATTGGGATTGTAGATTGGATATAAGCAAAGATGTAGAAATGGATGGACAGTAATGTACAATTTATTAAAAAAAATTTTTTACGGTTTGTTTATATACATGCTCTCTTCTCTGAGGTAAAACGAAGCTGAAACTGACTTTTTTCTTGCAAACTGCAAGTTAAGATTTTAGCTTAGGCTAGAGATTGATGAACTTTTCTTTTGTAAATGGCAGGATAACATATTTTTGGCTTTGCAGATTGTATGGTTTTTGTTGTAGCTACTCAATTCTGCTCTTATAGACTGAAAGCAGCTACAGGTAACACCAAATGGGTATAGTTGTGCTCCAATAAAACTCTTATAAAAGTAGATGCTGAGTGGGCTGTTTTAGCCTGTTAACTATAATTTGTTCCTCACTGGACTAGACCAAAAGACTATGTTTTCAAGACTAAAAGGGTTTCAAAAATTTTAAGGATTTTTAAGAATAAGGAAAAGACAGTTCTGATTACTTAGTATCGTGTGTGTTAGGTCCTCTGACTTTAACTTACCTCTCCAGCCTCGTTGTCTTTTATCTTTGGCCTGACTGTCCTGCGTCATATTTGCTAAATTGTGACACACGTAATCCATCTTGCCACTTATTATTTCATTTTCCTATAAAATACTTTTTATTCCTTCCCTGGAGATCTTATCTTGTGGCATGCTGGTTTTTGATGTGCCCTTTGTTACAAAAAAAAGCTTCTTTAAATTTTGACTTCATTCACATGCTGTTTCAAACTGTCTTCCACTCATCCAAGTCTTGCCTCTTGCTTCCAGCCATTCTCCTGTGACCAACTGTTACTGGTTTTTAAAAAATGCTGATCCCACTTCCCTACTTAAAATTGTTCCGTCATGTAGTGGCACTTGGAGTAGTTAAGCGCAGTCCTCCATTTCAGAACCTATCATTCTCCCTCTTAGTATATTCACTTTGGCCTCCTCAGAAATGCTTTCTGAATGCCATATTCTATTCTAAAACTGCATGCTGCATGCCCTTCTTACAACTTGTATCCACTTTTTTTAAGATATTAACTTTATCACTCTTTTTCCAGAGACAAGCATTTCATTACTATAGATTATGTGGTAACTCTTCTACCTACTTCCCATTAATTACTCATATAACATATTCATTATACTTTTTATAGTTTACAACTGTGTACTTGTTTCCTTATTTATTATGCTTTTCAAGCCATTTTTAAACTCTTGAGGGCAGGAAACATGACTCTAAATACCAAATAAAAAGTGCTCTGCTAGTGCTTAGTACGTGAAAAACATTTAATACATATTTGTTGAATGAATTTAGACACCCTTATCATGGATCTTCTTTCTGTTGTAGCTGAAAACATTTTTTATTTCTGCTTCTGTTTCTGCCATGTAGCATGATGCATCGTGTATGTGAGGTGCTTATTAAATAGTTTTTGTAAGTCAGCTAATTCAAAGTACTTAACATTGTTTAGTGCGGTATATGACACAGAGATAGTAATTGGTTTCCTTTCTTTTAAAACCAGTTTAAGAATTTAGTGACTAGAACATATATATCCTACTATGTGTTTATCTATGTTTAATAACATTTTTTAAAAAAATCAGTTTTCATCAAAATATTCAGTCTGTAACAAACCAGTTACATGGTCTTAGAGTACCAATTTTATCAATATAAAATTTTATGGACCAGAGAGCAAATATTAAACAAATGTTATGGGATCCCAAGTGCATATTATATTACCCTTTGTTTTCTACTCACATAATTCCCTCCCCCCCCTTTTTAAAGATTTAGTTTTGGGCTCGTTGCGATGGCTCAATGGCTCAATGGCTAAATCCATGACTTGCATCCAGAGGATCATATATGGAAACCGGTTCGTGTCCTGGCTGTTCCAGTTCCCATCCAGCTCTCTGTTTGTGGCCTGGGAAAGCAGTAGAGGATGGACCAGGGCCTTGTGACATTGCACCCACATGGGGGACCCAGAAGAGCCTCCTGGCTTCATATAGGTTCAACTCCAGCCATTGTGGCCTCTTGGGGAGTAAACCAGGGAATGGAGGATCTTTCTGTCTCTCGTCTCTTTAAATCTGCCTTTCCAACAAAAATAATTAATCTTTAAAAATTTTTATTTTATTGGAAAAAAGAGATTTATAGAGAAAGAGCTTCCATCCACTGGTTCACTCCCCTAATGGCTGCAATGTCCAGAGCTGAGCTGAGCTGAGGCAGGCACTTCCTGTGGATCCCCATAGGTGCAGAGTCCCAAGGCTTCTGGCCATCCTCTACTGCTTTCCCAGATCATAAGCAGAGAGCTGGATCGGAACTGGAGCAGCTAAGGAAAGAACCAGCACCTTTATGGAGTGCCAGCACTTGGAGGCAGAGGATTAGCCTGTTGAGCATTGTGCCAGCCCTTACAACAGTCCTTTTTCCAGTCTTTACATAAAGAATGTAGATATAAATCATTATTTTTTCAGTAACAGAATACCCTAAGATATCTAAATAGGATCTAGTTAATTCCAAATTTTGATGACCTTGAGTCGCATGCATTTTTTTTGAAATATGTGTTAATAAGGCATTAGAATCCCCCAAATAACACAGATTTATGATCTCTAGCTTAACTCTGTAATGATCACATCTTGAGATCTTCAGTAGGAATATCTGTCAAATGTAGAGGCAGATCGTATGCCTTGCCAACATTCTCATTTTATTTGTGCTGGTTTTACTATTTAAAAATGCATTTTCTAGAAATCTGTATTAAACACCTTTATTCCTTTCTTTGTTAAGCCATGAGATTTAACCCAAAATTATAATATAATAGCTGAAAGCGTTGGCCAGTTTAAACAAGGGACTTACTTGTCCCAGGATTTAGAATCCAAATTCTCTTTCCAGTTTAATAACTCTTGTTACAACTGAATTGACAATAGGTCATTTCATAATTTTTCCTGAGAAAAGGGTTTTGTGGTTATGATTTATATGTTGATATGAAAATTAAAAAGATGTTAATGTGATGTATATATCTGACAAAATTAAGATTACATTATAGGGACTCGCACCATGATTCAACAGGCTAATCCTCTGTCTTCAAACACCAGCATCCCATATGGGCACCAGCTTGTGTCCTGGCTGCTCCATTTCCCATCCAGCTCCCTGCTTATAGTGTAGGAAAGCAATGCAGAATGGCTCAAGTGCCTGGGAGCCTGTACCTGCATGTGATACCCTCAGAAAACTCCTGGCTCCTGGCTCCTGGTTTTGAATCGCTTTGGCTCCAGCCATTGTGGCTATATGGGGAGTGAATTGGAAGATGGAAGATTTTTCTCTCTGTTATCTTTCCTTCTTTCTATAAATCTGTCTTTTAAGTAAAAATCACTAAATCTTTAAAAACAGCAATAAAAAGCTTACATTGTAAAGATAAGATAGTAGTGTTAAGGAATACATTTGGAATATTTAACTGTAATGCTATTTGTAGCCTGTTTGTATTACAGATTCATATTGTATGTATTCCAAGAGAATAGTGAAGGAGTTGCGTTTTTAATCTGTAATTAATATAGCTCATGGTTCCTCCAGATGCCTAGGTAATAATTTTTCTCTTTTTTTTTCTTTTTAAAAACAGAATCCCAGTAAGGAATGTGAGCCTTATCGAAGAAATGATAATTTACCAATTGCTCCTTGTGGAGCTATTGCCAACAGCATGTTTAATGGTATGATACAAATATAAACATAGGTATTAATATAGACTTGCATGAGGCAGTCCTCAAAAAAGATCATGGAAAGGCCTGGCCAGTAGCTCAGTGATCCTCACCTTGCATGTGCCTGGATACCAGAGGGGTGCTGGTTTGTGCCCCAGCTGCTCCGCTTCCCATCCAGCTTCCTGCTTTGTAGCATGGGAAGGCAGTAGAGGATGATTCAAAGCTGCCTTGGGATCCTGTGCCTGTGTGAGACTGAAAGAAACTGCTGGCTCCTGGTTATGGATTGGCTCAACTCTGGCTGTTACAGCCACTTGGAGAGTAAACCAGCGGATGAAAGATCTTCATCACTCCTTCTCTCTATAAATCTGACTTCCCAATAAAAATAAATCTTTAAAAAAATAAAAAGTCATGGAGAGCCTGGTGCGGTAGCCTAGCAGCTAAAAGTCCTTCCTTGCATGTGCCAGGATCCCACCCATAAGGGCACCGGTTCTAATCCCAGCGGCCCCGCTTCCATCCAGCTCCCTGCCTGTGGCCTGGGAAAGCAGTCAAGGACGGCCCAAAGCCTTGGGTCTCTGCATCCGTGTGGGAAACTTTGAAGAAGCTCCTGGCTCCTGGCTTCAAATCAGCTCAGCTCCAGCCTTTGCGCTCACTTGGGGAGTGAATCATCAGATGGAAGATCTTCTCTGTCTCTCCTCCTCTCTGTATAGCTGCCTTTCCAATAAAAATAAATCTTTTTAAAAGTCCTGAAAAACGTGTATTATGGAAAACTATGTATGCATTTTAGCTTTTGGTACTATAGTAAATTTTTAATTCCATTTTTTGGTGAGCATTTTTGAAGTACATTCATGTAATTAGGACAGTTTGTATAATCTTCACATTTGATAGTCTGTTGAACATGAGTCAAATTGAGAAACCAAGCAGCGTTTACAATAAACAGCAATTAGATATTGAATGGGGATAATGCTTTGAGTTTTAATCATATTTTAAAATTGGTTTCTTTCGCTGAGAAAAATGAGGCAAAGATAGTTTCCTAATCATCTTATTAGTATAGGTAAAAATGAAAGCCTGCCTTCCTTTCCCACTGAATTTATTTATACTATTAAAAAGTAGCTATATTATTTCATTTTTAAAGCAGCATTGTGTGAGAGAAAACTAAGGTGACCAAAAGATGGAGCCATGTATGTAATTTTCCACTGTAGCTAGTTGCATTAAAAATTGTCAATTGAAATTAATTTAATATTGTTTTTAAAATATATATATTTTTAAAGATTTGTTTTTATTGGAAAGACAGATTTACAGAGAGAAGGAGAGACAGAAAGATCGTCTATCCATTGGTTCACTCCCTAAATGGCCACAACAGCTGGAACTGAGCTGATTTGAAGCCAGGAGCCAGTAGTTTCTTCCAGATCTCCCACATGGATACAGGATCCCAAGGCTTTGGTCCAATCCTTTACAGCTTTCCCAGGCCACAAACAGGGAGCTGGATGGAAAGTGGAGCAGCCAGGATATGAACTGGCCTCCATATGGGTTCTTGGTGCATGCAAGGCCAGTATTTAGCTACTTAGGCTACTGTACTGGGCCCAAGATTTATTTTGTTTATTTGAAAGGCATACTTACAGAGAATGAGAGATTTTCTATCTGCTGATTCACTCTCAAAATGACTGCAATAGCCAGGGTGTGGCCAGGCTGAATCGAGGAGCCAGGAGTGAAGGGGCCCAGGAACATAGGCCACCCTTGCTGCCCTCCCAGGTGCACTAGGAGGGAAATGGATTAGAATTAGAGCAGCAGGGCCTTCTATCAGCGCCCATATGAGATGCTGATGCTACAGGTAGCAGCTTAATGTACTATGCTACATTGCTGGCCACCATTAATTTTAATATATTTTACTTAATTCAGAAATCTCTAGATATTATCATTTTGTTATTTAATCATCTGTAAAAGTTACTGAGGTTTTATGTTCTTTCTATAAAAATCTTGTTTTCTAATGTGTGATATCTAGAGAGCATATTTGTATTAATCGCATTTTAAGTTCTCAGTAGTTGTGCACTTTTTGGTTATCATTGAATCATGCGCAGAGAAATGATACGCAAGGAGCTATTAGGAGCACGTGATTAAAAGGAAAAGTGGCAGATTTACCTTGCAATTTTATTTGGGTTAATATTAAAGCATTTAATTTTATTACATGGCAGCTAGTAATGCAGAAATGTACCTCAGATTTGTGTTAAGGGAAGAGAAGTCCACCTAAAATTACAATGTTGCTCTGTTTGATTAACATATAAATAGTTAATTTAGTATGACACATTTACTGTGTTACAGACATTTGAGAGTGAGTTACCAGGTCATTGGTTCTCATAGAATAAAGCTAATGTTCCTGATTTTTAGTAGATTTTTAGTTTTATTTTCCCTTTCCTGTGTTTAGATACGTTAGAATTGTTTCTGGTTGCCAATGAATCTGATCCCACACCTGAACCTATTATTTTGAAAAAGAAAGGTATCGCTTGGTGGACAGATAAAAATGTGAAATTCAGAAATCCGCCTGGAGGAGAAAGCCTGCAAGAACGATTTAAAGGTAAAGCGTCACCGGCATCTGTCCCTTTAGACCAAATAAACTAAAAGGAGTTTAAGTTGGCATATCTTTATTTTTTTATCTTTAGGATTATGAAAAAAGTTTATTTTTTAAAAAAAGTATGTTTTTTTAACCAAGCTAAATGTTCTAGTATATTAAAATTACAAAGAAAATGTATACTTTTAATAATAAATTCAGTTTCTCCAAATATTTTCCTGATAATTTAATTTTTAAAATTTTAATTAACTTCAACAGATTCAGTGTAGTTCCTGGATAAAAGTTTTGAAAGTATGATCCTCTCTTCTTTCTCTCTTAGCCCCCACCTCTTTTTCATCTCCTTTTTTTTTTTTTTTTTTTTTTTTTAGATTTTGAGAGTAAACATGCTTAATGTTTCACCAAATAAGTTTAACAAGTAAAAACCAAAGACACTTGTGGAAATACAGATAACAGCTATAAACAATGTTGTTTTCTGATAAGCATCTGAGCCATATTCTAAAAGTACAGCAAAACTTCATTAAACTATTTCCTATTATTTGTTACACAGCTTTATTTTTATGCTGGCTCCATTTCACAATGTATTATGTTTGTTAACATTTTATTTTTACATTTAAGTAACTTACCTTTTGGTATACCTTTTAGTATTCTCTTAATTAAAATATCAATAATAAAGTGATATTTTGTTAAATTAATGAAATTATTTCTTTGCAAATGGTACTTCTTCAGAATGGAGTAAATGATATTTAATCAGTACTGAAACTGAATCTAAGTTATTATAAAGCTAATAATTATAAAAATACTTTGTCATGAGATTATGAAAAATTCTATTAATGTGAATTGCTACATCAACTGACATTCAGTATCTAAAATTGTGTATCAAAATAGTCCTGTGCCATCAAAATTTATATTATAAACTCACTAGCCTTTACATTATGCCCAAGCACCTATGTTTTAAGCAGTTTCACCAAATTATCTACTTGAAACCCTACTATGAATATATGAGCATGTGCTTTTAAAATTAGAACAATTTTCCAGTAATGTGTTGTACACCTTTATTTTAGAAATGTGTTTATTTTCATTGACACTCTTAATGAAGTTGAATATTTTGTCTATTTTGTCTACCTGCCCTTCCCCTGCTCTTTTTTAAGATACTACAAAGCCAATAAACTGGCGTGACCCAGTCTACGAGCTGGATCCTTCTGACATTGATAATAATGGATTTGTAAATGAGGATTTTATTGTTTGGATGCGTACTGCAGCATTGCCTACTTTTCGTAAGTTGTATCGTCTTATAGAGCGGAAAAGTGATTTGCATCCAACATTACCAGCTGGACGATACTATTTGAATATCACTTACAGTATCCTTTTTTGGCTCTGTATACAGTGTCACAGAATTTGAAGGATAACTATTTCAGCCTTCTTGTATGATATGTTATTTTGTGCTTGTGTTTTAATCTCTGCATTTTTGGTATGTATATATACGATGATACATCTTCTAATTTTATTTCCTAAAAATGTCAAATTTGCATAGACCACAGTGATGGGAGAGACCTCTGTCTTTCCTTTCCTCCCTCACTTCCTTTCTTCTTTCTTCCTTTTTTCCCGTCCCTTCCTCCTCCCTGTTTTCGCTCTCACGTACCCCCTGTCATTTCCTCTCACTTCGTAATTGTGCCTTTCAAATAAGTAAACTTTTTAAGGATTGGGAATAAATTGGGAACTAGATAGCAGAATCAAAGCAAAAACCCATTTTTTTGGTTGTTTTATTTTTAGTGTTAGAATAGAAAAAGATCAACATGGATGATTTCATACTGTGTCTTTCATTGTGTTAGGTTAGTTAGAGCTCCTGAAGTAATTCCCACCCCAGGTTAGAATTGATTTAGTCACCAGTGTTTGTGGCACAGCTGGTTAGGCTACCTGCTTCACTGCCAGCATCCATGTGAGTCCATGTGCTCCACTTCCAATCCATCTCCCTGCTGATGTATTTGGAAAAGCACCAGAAAACGGCTGAAGTGATTGGGCCCCTTGCCCTCCCTTGGAGAAGGCCTAGAGGGAGCCAGGTTCCTGGCTTCAGTCTGACTCGATCCTGGCTGCTGCAGCCATTTGGGGAGTGAACATCTCCGTCTGCCTTGCTGCCTCCCTCACTTCTCTCTTTTCTTCTTTCCTCTTTGACTTTGCCTTTCAAATGAACAAATAAGTCATTTGGGGGTGGGAGGAGGAATTTATTTAGACAAGTGCAACCTGTCTTAGTCGTAGGTCCCCGTCTATGGAGATGGAGACTTGGCAGAAGCTAGATAAACAGGTTGAGACCTAACTCTGCCTCAAGAGATGCTTTTGAAAAAGTTGTGAACCTTTCATATGCCGATTTGATTCTGTCTTCTCTGGCCTAACTCCTGTCAGAATTTTAGAATTGGTCCATGTAGTTAGCTCATGCAGTATATTGGTGTTGCTTGTCTTGAATCTCCTTATCACTTCAAATCTGCTTTAGTCAGCAACTTTGTGTTAGGCATGTCTTTTTCTCATTGCGCCGCATCAGCAAGTTAAAACTTTGTTGTTGAGCTTTTGGAGCTTGTGCTCAGGGGCCACTCATAGTCTCATGTCTGTACTTTGTTTCACATATCCTTTGAGTTTACAGAGACTCCCAGTATCTTGGTTGGTTCTTTCTCTCCTCTCCAGTCATTCTTTCTTCATGGGCTTCAACACTATTCATCTGAAGTGTCTTTTCATATTTACTTTGGAGCCTTTTGCCCTTTTTTGTAATGAGAGCAAAAGCACCTAGAAACTGTGTAACCCTTATATTAGATTATTTTCGTAGTTTATTTAGACTCTTATTAATATTTATTTTGCCAAATTAACTTTTAATATGAGTATATTTAATTCTTTTGTGATTTAATTGATACATATAATTCTGTTGTGTATATCATAGAATTAACAGTGAATTATAGGTAATTAAGTACTAGCTTTTAAAGTTGTGTTTTAAATGTAAAGTAATTACAAATGGAAAAGAATCTTCCTATACCATCTTCAGATTATCCTGTACATTCTTTTGATGGACGAAAGCGGATGATCTTAAGCACTATTTCATGGATGGGAGGAAAAAATCCATTTCTGGGGATTGCTTACATCGCTATCGGATCCATCTCCTTCCTTCTTGGAGTTGTGCTATTAGTAATTAATCATAAATATAGAAATAATAGTAATACTGCTGACATTACCATTTAATTTTATATTCTGAAAACAAATCTACTGCATGTGCGTCAAGGCCAGTCCTATTCAACCTAGCTTTTGAATGCTGATGTCTGGTTAGTATGTCATTTTGAACTTGACACGTAACCTGTTTTTCTTTTTTTTTTATATTGTAAAGAGTCTTTGTCCTTTGATTCTTTCCTACAGATTACTTATGAAAATATATGACGGGTATGAAAAATTAGCTATATGGATCATATCAACACTGTAACTGCTGAAATGTCATTCTGGTGTTTGCCTTTCTGGGGACAGGCCACATGATGCATAGAGCCTCTTTCATGTGAAATGCGTCTACTGCTTAAATGTTTATACTATGTTGACAATATTCTATTGACATATGATGCTATATATGTGTGCCTATTGTGTGAAGAAAGGGATTACAAAATGTATGAATATAATGACTTGTTACCCTTTCAGGATACAGAGTTACAAAAAGATGAAGAAAGACCAAATCTAAATAAAACACTTCATCATTTTCACGTGTCATGTGTAAAGGCTTAAGTACCATCTATGTTGAGGTGGTTCTTATATTCAGTTTATCCATCACAGCTCATTATCAAGCTTGGCTGATTTCAGAGTACATGCTTGCCTTATCCTCCCTAGCATAGGAATTACTGCTCATGCCTAAAAAACCAAATAGGTCCCAGAGAAGAGAATTTAAGATTTTCTTTCCATGTAATGAAAGTGTTGCAGTCAAGAACCCCAACTCACTTCATACCTTTTTGCATGTGATAATTTCCCTTGAACCCCCTACACTTCATAAGGGAAGGAAGAATATAGGTGAGATGGGAAAACTGCTTGGCAGGCTTTCACTTCTTCCTCAACTCTAAATCACAAGTGAAACTCAGAGGAGACTATTCACTCTTGGGGTGTATTTAACATTCAGAAAATTGTTTCAACATTGGACATAGCTCAAGCTGTCTTTATTTTACAGGTGAGTGCTTTAAGTACTTATCTATATTCCAGAAATTTTTGAAACCTTAATTTCCTTTGTATTTTATTGTTATTTTTTTTGCATACAGGTCAATGTGGATGTGTATATATATATATATTTAGTACATTGTCTTTAGCTAAGGTAACAGTTATTTTGGTTAGCTTTCCTAGGACATTCTTTGAAAAAGTCTTCTATGAATTTCCTAATTAAATTCTGGGGATTTTGGAGTATGTACATGATAAATTATAATATATGTGGTTGAAATTATTTTATTTTCTACTAACTGGAATTATTTTAATATTCCTTATTGAGTAAATGCTATAATTTGTTTGCTATGGAAGTGATTCTTAAAGAAAATGTAAATTTTATTTTTTCACATGCATGACAATGTATGTATAATCAGAGGTGACTTAATTGCATTTATATTGCTTGTTTGAAAAAAATAACTCCTCTGTTTATGTAGAAGAATGTCTGTTTATTTAGAGTTTGTAATGATTTGATTTATATTTTAAATCAAAAGGCCTGGGTAATTATCAGCTTTAATTAATATATGCTTTTTTAATAAAAACAAAATAATGTAATGGTTAAAAGTAGAAATGTGCCACAGTTCTTAAGTTTTGTATACTATGAAATTCAGTTAAAAGAGCTTGTAACTTATAATGACTTTTAACTGGCAAATATTACCTGCATGAGTTACTTGATGGTTAGAGCACTCTTTGTCTGAAAGTGTTGCTTTGTTGGTTCTTTAGAATATTATTTAATGTAACAATTGTTGTTCTTGTGCGTGGCAATTTATTTTCTGGGGTGCATCACTGAAGGGCAGAAGGGAATTCTTCCAGTCTTTCCAAGCTGAGTCTGCACTATGTAAGGAGGACCACCATCCTTCATCTCTTTTTTCAATTGGGGTACTGGAGATGCCACTAAAGAAGAGTTGAAGAAGAGCCCTTCCACCACTTGCTCATCTGTAGAAAAGATGGAATCTTAAAATACATTTGGGGTTTTGTTGATTTTACAAGAAAGTTCCTCCCTGTCACCTGCTATTTGAGCTTTAAGGGATTCCTGTTGCTAAATATGAAGAAAATGGAACATTGATATGGCTCTGAAGCATTGCAAGAAAGAAATCATCTCTCACAGGTTTTATGCTCATTTTTTGGATGTATTGGTGTTATTTTCAGCTTTCAAAGAGTCATGTCATATTTATGCAAATAGGTTTAGTAGAAGGCATGGAAAATGCATTAAGGATGTATTTTGACATACAGAGTTTCCCAATTGAAGAAATTATTAAATAAGTAAAACTTAAGAAACTTCATTGAAATCATAATACAATTTAAGAGTAAATAAAAATTAACTGTGTATTACCCAATAGAGAATCATTCGACCCCTGGAAGAGTCAAATATTTGTTTATTCATTAGTGACAGTTTGTAAACTTGGCTATATTAAAATACAGCATTCTGTATTGATGAGCAAAATGAATTTTGCTATGTTCAAGTCCCAATGTTATTATGATGTCCCAATATTATTACTGATAATATTGCATATAATACTGCATTTTAACCCAGAGTCGGTGAATCCATGTTTTAACTTCTCCATGCCTAGTTTTTGATAATGTAAAGCATTATCTAATTGTGTTTATTAATCATTCTGACATCATTAACCATAAAGTTTATCTAAATTATTGAAAAATATCTTTTCTTAACTACAAGTGGTCAGATTGTCACCCTAGGTAGACAGACTGAAGTCAGGTAAATGGAGAGAGATGCTGAAAATAAGGAAATGAATTCTAACTAGTCAGAGGGAGCAGTTGAGAGGCAGGGCTAATGAATGCCCTTCAGCCAGCTGTTTTCTGTCTTCACAGGAATATTATTGCCTTAGGATTATTGTGTGACACTTCTTTGTCGCTTAAACTGTAAAGCTGTGTTGTGTATGAACATAGTTACTTTGAGGGGAGGTTGGAAGGATCAAGGTAGTAAGAATTTTGATGCATGAGTGTTGTAGAGCTTGGATGGTAGTGGAGTGTTCTGGTACCTTTTTTCAATCCATGCACCATTTAGTAAATATAAAAGTCACTTTTCTCCTAATGTTATTTGGAATTTCAAAATAAATATATTGTCTAAAAACAAATCAGACCATGGTGACCTTATTTGCTTTCATAAATCTATAGTTTTTCAAAGCCACATGTGTGCACAATTAGAAGATATGAGATACTGACTTGTTTTTCTAATAATGATAAGGAAAATAGTCCCTGCTTGAACTTCTTACTTCCCACATAGCATTTCTTTAACTCCAAAAGTTGCTTCTTCTGTTATTTATCTGTTTATGTCTATGCTGTTACTGCTTGGCCTATGCATTTTGAGTGCTGCCTTCTAGATAATGTTCCATGGTGATCTGTCTTTCTTGACACACACACTTTCCCTTTCCTTAGGTTAGCTAACTAGTAAGTGGTAAGTCAGCATTCATAGTCATGTCCTAATATTTCGCAAACACATTGGGTATTGTTTTTGACATTATAAATATTGGATTCCATAAGAAAAGCAGGGTAGCATGATTATACTTTGTGTACTTTTTTCTGAAATAACAACTTTATTTTTTAACATGTAACCAAAAGAGTCTTCAAACTTCTCTATCATGACCAAAATGCTTCTATCAGTGGTTTTAAAGGATTTCTGTGCATAAATGACAGGTAAAAGTCTTCGTTTTTGCTGGAGAGGGATATTCTGCCATGGCCCTGTGTTCATCTGTACTGATTGTTCCTTTGTCTTGCTATAAGCTGTTTCCAAGGTCTCCCTTTGCCATCCTTGTGGTCACTGTGTGTTGAGTCTTCTGTTTCCTCACACTCTGAAGCACTTGATAGAAATGACATTTGAGAGGTGTATTGGTCCTCACATTTCATTGATAGTTTGCAAATGTAATTTTATGTGGAAAATAAATTTCCTTCAAAATCTTGAAATTATTGCTTTCATTGCTGCTTTTGAGAAATCTGATTCTATGGTAGCTGTTGGGCTTCCTAGGTTGATTGATGGTGAATCTTCTCCAGTTCAGATGTTGTTGTTTTTTCTTTCAGAATTCTTCAGTTTTATCATCCAACTGTAACTTTTATTTATTCTTTTTAAACATTCTTTTATAATGCTATTCTTGGGAAGTGACTGGAAGAGACAAGGAGAGGGTAAGGGCAAAAAGCGATTCCATCTTCTTATTCATTCTCCAAATGACCATGGCAAACCTGATCTAAGAAAGGCCAAGAACTTGGAGCACCATCCTGATCTACAGAGGTTGCAGGGATCCAAGTATTTGGAATGATTTTTGTGTACACACACACATATCTTCATATATATAAGCAGTAATATATGAGTGCATATATATTACTGCTTTTGTTTCCTGCTCTTTTAACAGTAAGATTTTTTGTTGTTTTTAATTTGTTCATTATTCAACTTTCCTTATATTTCTGCTAGTCTTGCTAATCTGCTATATATGAACAGATCCCAAAAGACTAATTTGAAACTTTTTATCAGTAGCAAATGCTTTGAAGTGATAATCTTTACCAGCACAGTGCCACCCTGCAAATTCTTTGTTCCCCTCCTTGTGATTAAAAAATACATAATTGAAAGGCCAGAATTGATAATCTATTGAGAAGTGCAAGGGGATGGTTGACAGGAGGCATTGTTTGGATGGGGCCTCTTAGTGTTTCATTTGTTTTGGCAAGAACTTACTAATGTGTGGAAAGAATGAATGTGGGCAGGTCTACTTCTTACTGCTTCTAACTCCTCTGGTTCTTTCTGGCCTCCACCTACGTCCTGATTTGCACTTCAGATGACATTTCCCTTTATCTGTTCTGCTGTGTGTCCCTTCCACTTACTTTCCTCCATTAATTTCTCCATATAAGAATTTATAGATCTAGTTGTAGGACATAATGTTTCAGGTGAAAGATCATATTTATGTGGCAGAGAGAGAAGTTTTGAGGGTTTGCTCATTCTGTTGTACATAACTTTAGTTGGTCATTTTTAAGACTTCCCCTGATGCCACTCTGCTCTAACTTCTCAGGGCTGGAGTAAGTCATACTTCTCATTGGTTTCTCTCTTGTAGTTCCTTTAGATTGTGGCTTCCTCTCTACAGCTGAGTCTAATTCCATCAGATTTCCATCTTCCAGAAATTTACTAAAATCAGTCATCTGCTGTTATTACCTCTGTTATGCTTTTGCGCTACTGTCTCTTGGATTATGTAATAAACTTTTTTTTTTGGTCATGTGTGATTTTATGAGTGTTAACACCAGGCGGAGATAAAGAGCAGTACTATCGTACTATCACTCCCCCAAAACTCTTCACACTGTCCTTTCCTCCCATTTATAACCTCTGACAACCACTGATTTATCTTATATCTCCATAGTTTTGTGTTCTAGAGTGTTATAAATGAAAATACAATCCTTTGTAACTGGCTTCATTCAACGTAATGCCTTTGGGATTCACATTAGATGATGTGTCTCTTTTTTTCTCATCTTTTTTTATTCCTTTCGTTTTACTCGAATGGGAAGGAGAAGGAATAAACTCTAGTGGCTGGTGCAGTGCCTAAAACCACAAACACCTTGAAGCAAATATTTCCACCAGGACTTTTTGAAAGGTTGATAGCATTTAAAAAATATATGTATCTTAAAAGATAAACTTGCTTTGTACTTTGAATGATGATGATAGAAGCTTTTCTGGCTGTCACAAGTTTTTCTATCCAGGGAAATATGGAAGAATATTAAACTCACATATAAAACCCCTTCAAGCCTGACACACTTCCTCAGTGAAGTGAATACTTCCTTATCTTGATACTCAGTCTCCACAAATAGAGATTTATTTCACTCTCCAGCTGTGGCATTTGAGTACTTCGAATAACTACTGGTTTTCTTCCTATTCGTTTGGTCCTTAGTTCCCTAACTCCTTACTTAGGCTCACCATGTGAGATACCGGAAATTTAAAAATTATGATCGTTTGCCTTTCCTCATTTCTCAAATACTCCTTAATCTTAAAATTGTAATCATTCCTAATAATTTTTACATTGACTTTTTAATCCTGTCATCCCTTGTGAGCCCTGGACTATTTACCATTCATCTCTTGAGAAATAAATATTAGATTAATGATGGATTAACTTGAATTAATTAAACAAAAAGGAATCATCCAGTACAAACTTGGGATTCCTCAGTTATATCCCTTTGTATAGAATGGCGTATCTAACTTCCCTTCTGAATCTAAGATACCCTCGCTCTCCTCTCCAGCTTCCCAGTTGAATAAATCACTGCATTCTCTTGGTTTTTTTTTTTAACAGTACTTTCTGTTTGTTAGGTGTTAAGTCCATGCTAGGATGTGTGAGGGAATGTTCAAAACTTAGTAGAAGATGCTTATTTAGAATAAATTACAGGAGACTGATATTGTGGCACAGCTGGCAAAGCTACTGCCTGTGGTTGCCAGTTCATGCCCTGACTGTTCTACTACCCATCCTCCTCCCTGCTAATAGCCTGGAAAAGCAATGGATGATGGCATAAGTCCTTGATTCCCACATGGGAAACCTGGATGAAGCTCCTGGTTTTGACCTGAACCAGCTGCAGATGTGGCCAACTGGTGAGTGCAACAGCAAATGGAAGATTTCTCTGTCTTCCTCTTTCTCTGGAACTCTGACTTTCAAATAAATATTTCTTAAAAACAAATAAATGCTTGAGAATGGACCTTTGGCCTACTTGTAAGATGCTGCTTGGAGGTCCACATTCCACATTAGAACGTCTGGTTTGAGTCCCAGCACCGCTGGGTTCTAGCTTCCAGCTAATGCTCACATACTGAGGCAGTAGGTGATATTGCTGCCACCCATGTGGAACAACTGGATTGAGTTCTGAACTTTAGCCCAGGCTATTGTGGATATTTGAGGGACAAACCAGTGGATGGATGACCTCTGTTTGTCTCTTTCAAGTGAAAAAAAAAATGTATTTCAAGAAATTTTTGCACCAAAATAATCTTGATTCATTTTGCTAAAGACTTTTGGATGTGCCCCAGTATATCCACTTGTCTAAATCCTTTTGTTGCTGATACAGTTCTGGTTTTCTTATTTTCTGTGATTTAACAGGAGAGCTGCCTAATTGTTTTGGCTCTGGTAACTCATGTCCAACTGAATGATACTGAAGTAGGAGTTCTGATTTTATAGCAGAACCTTTGAATGGGTTTTCTTAAACCCATTGTCTTCATTTGGAAGATAACATTTGTCATTGAAATCAGCCTTCCGCTGTTACCACAATTTCCTATTTGTTCTACCTAGGACAAATTATGTGTCATTCCCCAAGTCATGTGTTCACCTCCTATGCACCTACAAATGCTATTCCTTATGCCCTGAATATTGCTTCCACCGAACTGTTTTTCATGACCTAACCTTCTTCCCATGAAAACTGGCATTTGTTAACTGTTTTCATCTTCGCAGCCACCCAGTGATGGTGGACACTGTTATCTTCATTTTAATGAAGACGGGAGACAGACATTGTGGCACAGTTGGTAAAACTGCAGCCTGAGACATTGGCATTCCAAATGGTTACAAGTTTGTGTCAAACTGCACCACTTCCAAAACCAGTTCCTACAAATAACCTTGGAAAAGCAGCAGAAGATGGTCCCTGTGTTGGGATCCATGCTGCCCATGTGGGAGACACAGATGAACCTACCGATTCCTAGTTTCAGCCTGGCCCAGCCCTGGCCATTGTGTCCAGCAAGGAAGTGAATCAGGAGGCAGAAAATCTCTCCCTTTCTCTCCCTCTCCTTAACTTTTTCAAATAAATAAAGAAGCTGAATATAAATAGATTGTATAATTTGCTTTCAATCATATTGTTAAGTGACAGATTCAGGATCTGTCCAACTTCCACATAAATGGAATTAATATTTTGTGTGACCTTTTCTAGGTCTCTGTTTTCACAGTTCCTAAGGTATGCGATTTTATTCTAAACCCAGATTATTAATCATTTTCTTGCCCTAATGTTTAGAATGATTCAAAACTCTGCTCCATTGCTCTGAATTCTACTAATTCAAAAAATATATATTTTTGCTTTTTTTAAGGTTAACACTTGAAAGGCAAATTATAGAGAGGGAGAGCTACTGCATCTGCTGATTAACTCCCCAACTGGCTACTGCAGCTGGAGTTGGGCAAGGCTTAAAGCTAGAAGCCTAGAACTCCATCTTGGTCTCACGTGGGTGGCTGGACTCCAAACACAGGCCATCTTCTGCATCAACAGGAGCTGGATCAGAAGTGGAGTCCAGGTCTTGTACCCAAAGCTAGTATCAGAGGTGCTCGCCCCATAATGTGTTTCTAATGAACACCATTTTCCTTAAATTTCTCATCTTACATTTTGTTTCTACAAGTTTATCTGTATGTCAAATTTACTATTTTTGTGCTGGAGTTCTGTTCTTATTGTATATCTCGGAAGGTCAGGGATTTAAAAAACTCTTGAATGTGTTGCAAAACATTCACAGTAATTAGAAAATAAATTATTGTTTCACAGGCAGTGACTGACCTACATTCATGTGTTTTGAAATTGTTTATCATACTTAAGGACATTAGAACAAGAGGAAAAGAACATTAGCCCAGCCCCTCAGCTTTAATAATGATTGAGGATTATAGTTGAATTGTTTAATCATTGATACATAATGCAGTAACTTTAAAGATTTATTTTTATTATTTTTTCATTGGAAAGGCAGATATACAGAGAGGAGAGACAGAGAGGAAGATCTTCCGTCCGATGATTCACTCCCCAAGTGAGCGCAACGGGCCGATACTATGCCAATCCGAAGCCAGGAGCCTCTTCTGGGTCTCCCACGCGGGTGCAGGTTCCCAAAGCTTTGGGCTGTCCTCGACTGCTTTCCCAGGCCACAGGCAGGGAGCTGGAAGGGAAGCTGGGCTGCCGGGATTAGAACCGGTGCCCACATGGGATCCCGGGCGTGCAAGGTGAGGACTTTAACCACTTGCGCCACTGCGCCGGGCCCTAATGCAGTAACTTTAAAAGAGCTCCTGATTTCCAAAAGATTATCGATGGAACCTTTTGATAATCAAAGAATATTTGGAATTATGTTGTTATGCTCTACTTTATCTAAATGATTTTTACACATTAAACATTTACATGGTGTTCCATATCATTTTTGCGAAACTTGAAGTACATTGTTTCCAGAAGCATAATACTGAAATCACAAAACTCTTGTTTATTTCTGTTTTTATGATCTATAGATGCTGTAGGCACATCAGAGTCATGGCTGTTACCTTTTTCCTTTTTTAAAAGATTTATTTTTTATTGGAAAGTCAGATTTAAAGAGAGACAAAGAGACAGATCTTCCATCTGCTGATTCATTCCCCAAGTGGCTACAAAGGCTGGAGCTGAGCTGATCCGAAGCCAGGAGCCTGGAACTTCTTCCAGGTCTCCCATGTGGGTGCAGGGTCCCAAGCCTTTGGGCCATCCTCAACTTCTTTCCCAGGCCACAAGCAGGGAGCTGGAAGGGAAGTGGAGCAGCCAGGATGCAAACTGGTTCATGGGATCCCAGTGTATACAACGCAAGATCTTTAGCTACTAGGCTGTCACGCTGGGCCATTTTTTTTTTCCCTTAAGAGAATGAATAATTGGCAGTCTTTCATTATTAATTGTGAAACATTTCACATAGCACTTCCCACATGCATGTGCATTTTATCAACATGATCCATTATCAGATTTTACATGGTCTATGCAAAAACTACAGGTTCTGTTATCTTGCTCAAGAACCTTTTAGAGCAAACATTTTTCAAAACAATCATTTGCTGTGTTACAAAAGAACCCCAAAGTGATGTCTCAGAGAGGAATACATATTGAGAGTAACTTGATTCAAATCTAGTAAGCAATGTGAAGTGTGCCTAGGAAGATCTAGAAGAGTTTGATAGGCACCAGGCAAGTCGCAGCTGTAGCTTCCTGTCAGGATAAGGTTGTTCACAGAATAGGAGCAGACGTTGACTGAGGAAGCCTGGGACAGAGAAATATTTAGAAGAAATCCAGTATGAAAATTTTTTTTAAATTTTGTACTCAGTAAAATAAGTTCTGATTATGTGGAGTATGTAGCCAACATTTCTTGAACTATTTTCTTTGGTAGTTAATATTCTAGGTGCTGGAAATGCTGGAGTCAGCAAAAGAGTTTTGGGAAGAGTCATATTGTTCTGTGTGGGAGATAGATGAATGGAAGATGGGATATAGGGGAAACATAAAAAGAGCTTTTGCAATCATCAGACAAGTGATGATGATGGCTTGGCCTGGAGTGAAGAGTCATGTGGCACATTTGGTGCCAGAAATAAGGAAAATTGCAGAGGGTTCAATGAGGGTTATAAAGTGGAGTTCAATTGTGGTAGCAAATTAAAGGTGTTCATCATTTTTAAAGATTTCTCAAGCTAAAGGGGATGTCAGGTGGGTAAGAGGTGTTACATCAATGTAAATTCAAGCCATGGGTTTGGATAAGATCACAACATATGACTGTTGAAAAACAATAAAAAAGGGATAAGATACCCTAAACCGAGAGGATGAGTGTTCAGGAAAGGGAACTCAAAGGAGCAACCACTGAAACAGGAGGATCCCTGCAGGTGTGGTGTTGGGAGCCATGGACTTCAAACCATTCCTGCTGCATTGTGCTGCATCTCTGGTCTATTTCTAAATTAACATATGCTATAAGGAAGTGATCAACTATGTTAAATGCTGTGGATACATGGGGACGATAAAAATTAAGAGCCACAGTTTGTTGAATGAACTGGAAGCCATTGGGGGAACCTAACAAGAACAGTAAAATGGGACAAATTAGGGAGGAAGTTGAGACAAGTCTAAGAAGTCTATAGAACTGGGCTGGCAACTTGAATCAAAGCAGTTTTTTTGGTTTTTTGAGACTGTTGATTCATGAAAGAGAGAGATTTATATTTCATATAAAGTGATAGAACCATAAGTGAGCATCTACATTTGGATCTATTTCATGTGAATCTGGTTCTTTTTGGATGGTTACGAGCTTCCTAGTTATATTATGCAATATATATTATGAATCCACCTGCCAGTGGACACCTCCTTCATGCAGCACCGAGCGGTTAATAAGAAATTCACAATATCTGTTCTTGAGGAATTTGCAATCTAGACAAAAGTAGAGAAAGAGAACAGATGTTAACTTTAGCAAGTTTAAATTACAGAATAAACTTAACACCCTCATGCCCCAGCTATTGGCACACCCTCCTTTTGGGCTAGGAGAACTGGTCAGTCTGTTTCTCAGGAAAACATGAGTAGGGTTTATAAATGTAAACCTTGCGGAGGAGAGAATTTGCAGGTACCTTCCTTGGTAAGCCCTTTAACGTTCAGTAGACTGTGGAGGACAAATTACTCTCACGATTAAAAGAGGTAAATTAATGTTACTAATTTTTATCCACACATTTCACTTTTGCTGAAGCCATATAGTATTCGTTAACTTCTATTTGTTTAAAATGACATGTAAATAATTCGTGAGTTTGTAAAAAGGGAAGCTATTTATTGCAGTGCAGGGCAGATAATTTTGCCTGCATACAGTTGAGGATGAGCACAGGGAATGAAGACACTTGCTATGGGAACCATTTAAGCAAGACTGACGCAAGATGCGCCGAAATTGTACAAGTGTGCAATGAATAACTGCTGTGCCTCGCGCCCCAGTCATGTGTAAAGCTCGGTTAGACCCGAAATCACGACACTTGAGCCAAGACTGGCTACCACACTGCTTGTCTCCCGTTAATTTTCTTCCCTGTTTGCAGCGTTTCCCCGGCCTCCAAAGAGCCACCGCGTTGGAAGACAAGGGGAGAGCTCCCAGCTTGGGGGACTGGGGCAGCATCCGAAGGTACAAGAAGATAACATTTCGGCATCCCAACGCAGCTCTTTCCAGCAATATTCTCGGCCTCCGCAACAGTTACCTCATCGGGGGGAAAAAAAACAAACCATTGTATCCGTGCAAGAGGAATTATCCTTTTCGTGTTGTGTTCCATCAGCTTCATGACTATATACTCCGTGTTCATTTTAGCTTCTAATAGTCAAAGATCAGGCAATGCCTTGTGGCTTAAAGCACACACTAATGTAGTGCCTCGTTCCCCGCTTAGCGTGTTACTTCAGCAAGCTTAGACACAAGCACAGCACTCAGAGCACCTGCCCACCTCGGCCTCCGCCATAGCGTACAGGTCCAGTGGGACCCCGGGGCCGGGAAGGCGGCGAGCCGGATAGAGCGGCCAGAGCCGTCAGGGCCGCTCTCGCTCGGCTTCCTTCTCTATGGTTAGGAGTGCGAGCTCCCCCTCCGCCCGGAAAGGCTGGATTCTTTGACTCTTGCGCAGGACCGCGAGATAGTTCCGCTTCCGGCGGGGATCTTTTTCCCCCTCCTCCGTTGCTGGTGTTCGGTTGTCGCGGTTGGTGGGCTGTAACGGAATCAGGATGCTGCGGAATCTGCTGGTGAGTAGCTGCTGGCTTTGCCCTCGGGATGCTTTGCACAAGGGACCAGCCGAGCAAACCGTGTCCCGGACGGCCGGCGGAGTCACCTTGGCCCGCGTCCTTTCCGTCTGACCTTGCAGTCCCTGCAGCCTCTTTCTTTCGCTCCAGGCCGGGGCTGGGCACCGGTGGGCAGTGGAGAGCTGGGCCGCTGCCCCGAGGATCGTTCAGCCCACCTGGGTTACCGTCCCCGTGGGTCGCTGGCGCCGCCAGCAGCTCAGAGGAGGACCGGGGTCTAAAAGGCGAATATGACGCTCGGAAACACCAGGCCCCAAGGTCCGTGTGGTGCTAGGAGGGCTTGCCTTCAGTGCTTCCTGGGCTTGAGAGCCGCGGAAGGTCGTTGAATTCTGCACGGACGTTCGGAGTCCCTGCAGAGCCATGCGGCTAGTCGGGCACCTCGGCATTGCCCTTCACACCTCCTCCGACTGGGAGCCTGCGAAATAATTTCCGAAAATTTCGAAAAGCAGGGGGAAAAATGCAGTAGTGATCGTTTTCTTTTGTAACTCAAAGCTGTTCTTTGCTTCCCTGTATTAGTTATTTTAGAAAGCAGAATAGATGTGTAACTATTCAACTAAATGTGCAATGCATTTTTTTAAAAAAGGTTTGTACCCAAATGTCTTGTAGTCGTACTAGCGTATTTTGCTGTCAAGAAATAGATTTTTAATATAATGATGTGAAAACATTTGAGCACAGGGTATTTTGGTAGTTTCCTGGAGGGCTCAGAAAGGTTACTGGTTGGTTGAAACGTAAGTGAAATTTGGTGTTTGGGAACTGCAGAGTAGGGGAGCTGGCCCATGTCACTTAGGCTCTTTGTGGCTTTTCTCTCTCCTGTGATAACAAAGGATGAATGGGGCTGGCTGCAAGGGTTCCTGTGGACCCTAGCTCTTGTTTATTGTTTCTGCGTTTCCCCTTGCAGGCTCTTCGTCAGATTACCCAGAGAACCATAAGCACTGCTTCACGCAGGCATTTTGAAAATAAAGTCGCAGAGAAACAAAAGCTGTTTCAGGTACTGGAATACTGACTGGGATATGGTGATTAGACCACCAGGGGCTGGGAATCGGGCGTCAGTCTAGAGTTAGTGGGTGGCTCGTGGTCTTTATTAGATGGTAGTGGATACGCCCTGTTGGTAGCTAGCTGGTGATAGAGAGGAACAAGCAGGAAGAAATGAGGGAGGAGGCTTAACTCAATGACACTGTGTGTGGAAGAGTTTCTGATGGATTGGCATTCTTTGTGGGTTGTACCATAGGAGTAGGCAAACCACAGAGAGGACCTACACACAGAACATACATAGCTGTGGACGTTTAAAATGTGCTAAAAGATGTTAGTTCACGTACTACAGGAAAGGATGCAGTACATTAGCATTGAAAGATGACATTTTTCGCAGAATAGTTGGCCTGTGTTTTTATTTGAAAGGCAGAGAAGGAGTGGCGTTGTGGAGGGCTGAGAGAGACAGGTGTATCTCCTGTTGACTAGTTCGCTCCTTGAATGGCCTGTAGCATTTGGCGTTTAGCCAGGCTGAAGTCAAGAGCACAGAGCTTAATCCAGTCTTCCATGTAAGTATTGGGGACCCAGGTGCTTGAGCCATCATCTCCTGTACCCCAGAGTTTGCCTTAGTAAGAAGTTGGAGATAGAGCTGGGATTCCTGTGTGGATGTGGATGTCCCAGGTGGCAGCTACCATACTGTACCACAGTTCCTCTTCTGTAGATGAGTATTTTAAAGAATAAAGATAGGTTCCCTTTATGTAATATTCTAAGAAACTGAATTGCCAGTATACCTGTTTCTCCCTCAAAAAAGTTTGAGCAAATGCTTGTGAGAATCTTAAGGGTGGGAAAGTCTTAAGAAAAATTGTGAGGTTTGATCACATGAAAATTTTGAATGTATATGCTGTTACAAAGACAAGTGGCAAATGGCAAATTTTAAAAATAACAACTAAGTAAAGAAAGAATGACATTAATAAGAAATGCAAATTGCCTGCCGTTAGTCCTGGCCCGAGACGGGGTCTGCTGAGGAACGCTGCTGGTCGTGCACTGTGCGACCTCGGTATAGTTATGGGCTGCCAGCTGTTAGGGAAGCACTTGTGGCCGTGGCCCTGCGTACACTGAGGCAGAAAGTGGTCTGTCCCCTGATGGCTAGAGTGGGACAGTTACTGGGGTGGTCTGTTAGTCTGGTACATCAGACACCACAGCCCACAAAGAGTACCTGAACTTAGTTCGAGTTAATTCTAGCTGTTAATTCCAGTGTCCTACCATCGCAGATGGTGAGGGGCGGTGGGGTGGCCCACAGATGTGGTTTCTTTTATTCTTGCTGGAAACAGCATGAGTTTTTGGCTCCTGGCTTCAACCGAGCCTTTGTGGGCATCTGGGGGAGATCCCGTGCATGGGAACCTACTGTCTTAAAGCAATAGACATTTTCAAGAGCATGGTGATTATTGATTTTTTTGTTGAAATTATTAAGCTCACTGAATATAATTTTGACTTTTTTTAAAAAAAAAATATGTCTTTTTTTTTGAAAAGTCAGGTATACAGAGAGGAGAGACAGAAAGGAAGATCCTCCTTCTGATGATAAACAGTTGGTGGCCGGAGCTGAGCTGCTCCGAAGCCAGGTGCCAAAAGCCTCCTCTGGGTCTCTCTTGCATATACAGGGTCCTAAGGCTTTGGGCCATCCTTGACTGCTTTCCCAGTCCACAAGCAGGGAGCTGGATGGGAAACGGGGCTGCCAGGACTAGAACCAGTGCCCATATGTGATCCTGGCACGTTCAAGGTGAGGATTGTAGCCGCTAGGCCACGCCGCGCTGGGCCAGTTTTGACTGTTTAATAAAGACTGCCTGTATTGTATATCACATTAATAGTAATAAAGGAAAATTGTGGGCGTTTATGATACTTGCAGGATTTTTAGTTCTAGGAACTTAGGCAGCTATTGTGTTTTATAGAGATAATCTTGTGAAACTCACTTGGAGGGCCTGGCGCGGTGGCACAGTGGTTAAGGTCCTCGCCTTGCACTCCCGGGATCCCATGTGGGCGCCGGTTCTGGTCCCGGCAGTCCCGCTTCCTTCCAGCTCCCTGCCTGTGGCCCAGGAAAGCAGTCGAGGACGGCCCAAAGCCTTGGGACCCTGCACCCGCGCGGGAGAGCTGGAAGAGGCTCCTGGCTTCGGACCGGCATAGCATCAGCCGTTGCGCTCACTTGGGGAGTGAATCATCGGATGGAGGATTTCCTCTCTGTCTCTCCTCTCTGTATATCCGTCTTTCCAATAAAAAATAAAAAAAAAAATAAACTCACTTGGAATAGGTGATTGATCTAGTAACATGTTTGTTTGTTTATACCTAGGAGGATAATGGAATTCCAGTGCATCTAAAGGGTGGGGTCGCTGATGCCCTCCTGTATAGAGCCACCATGGTTCTTACAGTTGGTGGTAAGATATTAGAATGTTTAAAGATTTGTAGAAAAGTAATAGTAATGATAACTAACAACTGTGCAAAGCCCATAGCCTGTCTCTAGCATCTGACCTCTCACTGGCTCAGAGATTCAAGAGGCTGATTCATATATACTGTATGAAAAGAATAAAGCAATAATGTGTGCTTTGGTTATCTAGTGATAGAGGTGGCTTTCTGAGTGTGCCATTAGTGGCCCCGGGGCCTGTTTTTTGGCCAAAAACAGGCATTTTACTCGTCTCTGAGAGCAGGGCTTTTGAACATTTTGTGATGCATATAGTAAAAGCACATTGTACTTACACGCCCTGTACATACCTATTGGTTAATAAGACAAAACTTGTACAGAACAATGCTTGACTTATGCCCTATGTAAAACAGCTGTGATGGTTTTCCAGTGCATTTGGTAGAATCCTCAGTTTTTTTTAGGGCATATTGCACGTGAGGCCTAGTTAGGAATTTGGAGGCTTGCTGTCTAGGAGAGGAAGGGAAACATTATTTTCATAGCCGTGTGCCCTTCATGTTAATAGGAATGTTACCTGCTTGGAGTGTTTATTCCTCATCTTAAAGGGGAGGAGGCTGTGTTGCTTATCCAGCAGTACTGTTCCTATGAACCCTAATTCAAAGTCTCCTCATGGCATGTGCTTGCTTTTATGATCAAGACAACAACCAGAAAGTGACATTTGTTCTTCCTAAATAAACTACATTCTTTACAGTCAGAGATACTTTCTTAGACATTCTGGTAATAAGTTTTAAAGTAAAATTATAGTAATTAGATTTTTTTGTATTAGTTTGAGTATTTAAATATATTTGTCTTGGTTTTGCAACAGTGTATACTTTTAGAGACAGTATGGTTATTTTTTTACCTTTGTTGCCTTTTAAATCACTTTGGTATTTCTTGGATAGTCCTAGGTTAGTGTAGAAACAACTTTTATATATACTTTTAATCTTATTTCAAAAAGTTTTACATTATTATTGGCAAATGTGTTCTTGTCTCATATCTGATACTTTATAGAAATTAGCTTATATCAAAATGAGATATTTATAGGTACTTAATAAAACCTTCTAGCACCATTAAAAATGCTTTTTAGTGCTCTCACTAAGGTAGCAAGCCAGCGTTTCCTTTTGTTTTACAGCTTTTGACCTGAAATGTTAATTTCACATGTTTAAACAGCAGAATTTCTAATTAGTGCTTTTGCTTTTATTTCTCAGGAACAGCATACGCCATATATCAGCTGGCCATGGCTTCGTTTCCCAAGAAGCAGGATTGACCTGAGTCGTCCCAGAAACCATTCAGTTCAGTTGCATTCAGCTCTCTATGGACCAGTAATGTGATAAATAAATGAGCTCTTCTTTGGGGATCAATATTTATTGACTGGTACTAACTGCCACCAATAAAGCAGTCTTTACCATGCTTTGTCTTATTTTTATTCCTTATCACTTTAGAATAAATTATACCAAGGATATCAGCATTTGGTCCATACCAGTAAATTTTAGGGAGCAAAAGAAATGACCCTATTGTAACGAAGCTGGTATAAGTTATCATTATTATGATACTATAGTGAACTTTTAGTTGTACAGTAGATGCTCTCTCACTACACTTGAGCTTGGCACTTGAAAGCATATTGCTTCTGTTCTCTGTCCTGGGATGTGCTGGGACATAGGGATAGACTGCAAGTAAGTTACAAGCTAGTTTCAGAGCTGCAGAGACAGACTTCCCTGCTTTGCTTTCACTCCCCAGATAACCTCTGCAGGCAGAGTAGGCCAGGCCAAAGCCATGAGCCCCCTCTGGGTCTCCCATGTGGGTACAGGAGCCCAGATACTTGGGTCGTCTTACCCTCCCTGCTGAGCCCCATTAGCAGGAAGATGGGGTTTTTAAGCAGCTAGGATTCACTCAAACTGGTGCAGAAATGGGATGCAACACACAGGCCCAGTGCGATCTTACTTTGGCCGTGCAACATTATCCTTTGAAAAGCAATGTGGTAGGAGAAAAAAATTCATGATTATGTTATCTCATTAATGTAAACATGGAAGATTTAAGTGAAAATCTTGTTCTTACTGTGTTCAAAATTACATTTGTAATCTGTTCTAAATGAAGCTATTTCAGTGGGTTTCAGAAAGATTTTCTGTAAATTATTCAAGGCTGAAAAACCACAAGATCTCAAGTTGAATTTTTTTGATTAAAAAAGCTCAGGTTTGCCAGTGTACTACATCAGTTCATGCTTTTTCTTTCTTTTTTTTTTTTAAGATTGATTTTTATTGGAAATGTAGATCTGCAGAGAAAAGGAGGCAGTTCTTCCATCTGCTGGTTCACTCCCTAGGTAAGGCTGGAGCTGAGTCGATCTGAAGCCATAATCCTGGAGCTCCATTTGTTTCCCCCATGGGTAGGAGGGTCTAAGCACTTGGGCCCTCTTCTAGGTGGCACTCATAGGGGATGTCAGCATCGCAGGTGGTGGCTTAACCTGTGCCACTTCGCTGGTGTGCACGAGCTGTTTTTATAGCTCAGCACTGAACTGAGGTTTTATCTCAACGTGAATTCGCTGAGACCAACACATGTCTTAGCTGGACCTCCTGCCTAGCAAAATTAGTTCTTTTTTGCTCTTGGTTTTCAGTGGGAAATTCTTGCGTTGGCAACTGGCAATCTTTGCTAAACCACTTGGATTTTCTTTTTAAAGGTCTAGTAACACAATGGCCAGTGTCATCCTCTTTATAATGTTTAAGTCACTTTTACACGAGCAACTCCCTTTCAAATTTGGTAAGGCGTGGTCCAGTTTTACACAGTAGTCGATATGCAACTGTACTGGTTATCAGATACATGGGGAAAAGAAAGAGCAAATGCCTTAAGGTGCATGTTAAAACACAGGAAGGCAAGAAGGGTAGGTACCACTGAGTGAGTGAGGTACTGAAAGATGAGGAGGATCGTTTCAAGTAGGGCTTCACAGAATCCTATGAGGGCCTGAGTTTTACTCTGAGTTACATGGGGAGCCTCTAGTGGGTTGCATGTCTGACGTGTCATGAAGAGGATTAGGTTGGCTGTTGTGTTGAAATAGACTTGAAAGGGTCGAAGTTGACTTAATGCATTAGAATGCTTACTTCAACAACCTGGGAAAGAGATGGTAGAGCTGGGAACAGGTGTTAGGCATGGAGGTGACTTGAATGGTGGACAATCTTTCTGATTCCTTCTTCTCTGCTACGGTGACTTATTTAAAGACCACTTTGTACAAAGCACTTTTCCAGACTAGAGAATACAACTGAGAAGTAGGCCAACAAATTCTTAACTGAAACTCTTTTTTTTATAAGTGGAGATACACAGCAAGTATATTAATCTGTAGGCATGATAACATCCTGTAGTGGGAGCTGCAGATAAATAGGGGGATCTGGTAGGACCAACAGTGGGATAGAAGCCAGAGTAGTGCTCAGAGTACATGAGATTTGAATTCAAATCAGGAAAAAAAAAAAAAGGAGCCAGCCAATCGAAAGGAGAGAAGCGGCCCAGGAAAAAGAAAACTGCTTTCCATGGTTGAAGTTCAGACCAGTGTTGTTGGAACATTGAAAGCTGGAAAAAGCAGGATTTGTTATCTCTTTCCAAGTGATTAATACAACAGATGGCCGTGACCCTACACACAAGGTCTGGATTGATCTTTTCTGGTTTCATAGTATGATGCAACACAATCTGATAACCATAACATTGATTTAGCAAGAATCCCAAACATAAACTAGTATGTGGACATTCTATCCCAGGAAGTTGTTGTTACTATTATTAGCAAGATCAAGAGGCTGAGAAAATATTGTGAAAAAGATGAAACAAACTGGACTTCCAGTCTAGACCTGTCTTATTCTGGAGCTTCCTGTTTTCTGTGTACAACATAACTTCCAAGGAAAGTACAACTTTGCTGGTTAATTTTTCCAAAGACTTTACTCTCCAAACGATGTATTGATGTCATATGATTAAAATTTTTAAAAAAATTTATTTTCATTTGAAAGGCAAAATTACAGAGAGAAGGAGAGACACAGAACCATCCACTGGTCCAATCCCCAAGAGGTTGTAGTGGCTGCAGCTGGGCCAGTTTGAATCTGGGAACCAGGAGCTTCTTTTGGGTCTCTGATGTAGGGGCAGGATTCCAAGGACATGGGCCATCTTTTCACTGCTTTCCCAGGCACATTAGCAGGGAGCTGGATTGAAAGTGGAGCAGCCAGGACTTGAACCGGTGTGCATATGCGATGCCAGCACTACAAGCAGGGGCTTAATTATGCCATGGGGACAGCACCAATTATCATTTTGTATTCTCTCTTTTTAGGGTCCCATGACTCTTGGCATTTGTTGGTGTCAGTTTCCTATATCTGTGTATGGAAATTGTAGTATTTTGCAATTGCTACTTATCATCTTAAGAAAGCAGCAGCTTCTACAAGTCAAGGACATTTTGAAGGTTTCATTTAATAAATATTGAAAAACAGTGAAACACAAGTATTTTCATACATTTTAACACGTTATGCTATCCCAGAAGCAGACAATAAACTATTGCAAATAGATTGCTTGGAAACTGGATAACTACCTGAGAAAATATTAGTTTCAAAGCACTCATGAAGCTCACTAAAGGAAAGAGAACTCAGGTTTGTTTTGTTTTTTTTTTTTTTCAGAATTCATGCTGGAATACATATGTACATACCTATAAACTTTACATATAAGTTTTGGATTTAGTGCTTGTAGAATATGTTTAACTTTGAATTTAGTATTGACTTCCAATTGCAAATTTGCCATTAATGTAATGAAAGATGATTTTTTTTTTAATGTGGTTGTATCAGATCTGAATTGATCTGATACAATTGAGTTCTCTCCCTGGGAAGCTGCTGAAAATATTCTCTGACTTTATTCTGATGGAGAAGTCTGGTGTCTGTCTTGGGCTCTGTTGCTTCTCTTTCCAGTTGACCTCAGTTAACACACTGAATGGAGACACTTGGTGACCTTCAGGGTTTGGCTGCTCTTCTCCCAGAGCTTTGCCCTGGTAGGGTGTCTGCTGTGGAACATCCCCATGTGATGTACCGTTTTTGGACTGTTTTGAGCACTTCGTATCTTCACCGTTGATTATTTGCCAGTCCTAATAATAATGAGTTTTTCAAAGTTTCCATTCCACTTTATTTGAAACCTGCTAAGAAAGAATAGAGTAGGAATTCCTTGGATGGATGAAGAGCAAAGTCTGTTTCCTTTCCTTCCGTGTGTGTCTATCACGAGCCTGTGCATGCTGCTCTAGTACGGTGCCTGTATTATATTACTACAGGCATGTTGCAACATATAGACCAAGCTCTACAAAGTGACTGTCACGGTAAAGCAAGTCTCATGAATGTTTTGATTTCCTGGTGCATTAAGAGCTGTATCTACACTACCTTCTAGTGTATTAGGTGTGCAATAGCATTACTTCTAAAAAACCTGTGCAAATTTTAATTTGAAAATATTGCAAAATGTTGGTATTGTCTGAACCTCTAATGAAACACAATTTTTTTTTCTGGTGGAGTTATTTTTCTTCTTTTTATCTCTGTGAGGGTCACTTCTAATGGTTCGGCACCTCGTCTCTAAAGGTTGGGGTGGCTGTCACAATTTTTTTTTTAAATTTTAGTTTTGATGCTGTTTACACAATTGATTAGGGTGGGAAGGGTCAAGGACTAGGGGAAAGCAGGCAAGACCACTATTTTCACACCTTCCTTACCTTCTTCTATATCTGGGGTGGGATGAGGTGGAGGGGGCAACAAGGGGAAAAGCCACAGCCAACATCCCAACCATCTCAGTACCCAGGGATGGGGAATGGCCACCTGATGTCATCCCACTGTCCCCAGTGTGGAGCATGTTCTGGGGTTCTGTTCAAGCAGTTTCAGTAGTTCTGATATGCTGTCAGTCTTACAGATCCAAGGGTGAGGAAATCCTTCCAAGGTCTGTGGGCTGACACAGTCCACCCCAAAGTCTCCATTCACCAGAAATTTGCTGTCATGCTTCTCTGTGGGTAGTTGACCAATTTGTTCTGCCCTCCTTCCTCTGCTACGGTACCAGATGTCCTCTGCTACGGTACCAGATGTCCTCTGCAGGCTCCAATGGACTGCCTAATCCTCCATGTGCATCTGGGAATGCTGTCCACTGCATCATCTTCAGTAACTGAGGAGGCCCTGTTCAGACATGCACTCCACCGTTGGATTACAGATCCTGCCACTCTCGCCATGGTGGAGTGTGGAGTTCTGAGTCCAGTGGTTTAGTTAGGGGGACCCTCAAAGAAATCTCATCTGAGGTGATACCAGACCTGACTCCTGTGTGCTCCTGCCAGTACAGGGTCCAGCTCACTCTGTTACACACATCAGCCTACGCACTGTGATAGTTGCACTTGCTAGGTCAGATCTATCTCTTATGTAAACCAGTGGGTGCTACAGCC